ATTTTGGGCCCAAGCCCGGCCCAGGCCCGGCCCAACCTACAAATTACCGGGTTTGGCCCGGCCCATTGCAAACCCTAGTGGCATGCTATGGCTTGTGGGCTTAGAGTAGAAAAAAAGGTCGATCTTTAAAAATTTGTTATAAATATGGGCTCTTTTTGCCCTTAATAAAGAGCAGCGAAAATTTGCATAAAAAAATCGTTTTTGTTTTACATAATATACCCGACTCAGCTTTACCTTGCCAAATTGTAATCGCTTCTAACCATTGGGTATATCATGTGTTGGTTGTGTTGTTTTGGTGGTGTTTGAGTAGTTCGTGTTTCTGCCCTTTTGCCTCCAACAATACCCGATAACTTTATTTCAAATACTTAAAGATTTAAATATACAACCAGTTAAGAATGAATTATATACTATTGGTATAACCATACCGTGTCCATTTTGATAAATAAATAGATGAAATAACAAGCTAAGATGATTAAAATACTACAAGTATCCTCCCTCATCTTGAAGGTATTTTTACGTGTAAACTCAGGACTGTTCAAATGGTTAATAAAGTATCAAAAGATATTTTACAAACTTAGTCTTGCTAGAAGTTGAGGAAAAACAAGAAAATGAGATATTGCTGTCTTTCAGCAATTATACCCGATTCTTGGTCAGTCCACATTAATGAGTCCTGAATAAACATGGCACTTAGCCTATTCCTGGGGATTCCCATATCGGTTTCTAAATGGCGAAAATATGAGTAGACGACAATTTATTCATAAATAGGTGGGCAACAGGTATTTTTAAGGAAAATATATAAAAATCTTGGCAATTCCATCTGTATCTCATGTGTTCCTTAAAGATGTAGTATTAAAACGGTCAAAGGTAGAAATAGAGGGAAAGATAAGGAGCATAATTGCACAAGGCCCCCTGACTTATTATTTTGGTATGCTCAATTGGAATAAAAAGTTTGATCCAATGAGAGGATATGCTATAGGTATGTCCAGTGCTATGCGATACCTCCTAACATATTTGAACAACACGCTCTTTTCAAGCACCATTACCAAATGGATATTACGGCAATGGACAGTATAATATCATATTAATACGTTATAATGCTAAAAAAAAAAATAAGAAAAATGGGGTACAATAATCACCCACAAAAAGACCGAGTTAATATGATGATAGATACTTATTATGACAAACTTTATAGCCATATTTATGGAATCTTTATGACGACACCATAACAATGAAACATCAAGGTCATAACACAGGTCAGTCAACCATTTTGCCGACAATACTATTTATTGTTTGACCTTGTTTGTTGAAGCGTGGCAACAGTTGGCTGGTCAACCAGCAGCTGATTTTTTTAAATACAACAAAATCACCACCTATGGCGATGATAACATCTTTTCATGTTTTAATGATCAATGGAAAGCAGAAAAAATGATTGAATATTTTTTCAAAAAAAGGGGTTGGTTTGCAATGGAGAATGAAAGTAATTCTCAAAAATTTATTCTCAAAATAAAGATTTGGTCATATGAGGCAATTTGTCCCGTCATATGAATATAATGTAACATATAAACATAACTGTGATAAACTTCTAATGAAGTTTGATGATATAAAGAAGAATCAGAGCTTATTTACTTGAGCGCGTTGTTGGTTTAGCCAATAATTGCGCTCATTATCCAGATATCCACGCATTATATTTAGAATATTTTGATAAGCATATTTTCCATTACTACTCACATATGAAAAATATACGTAAAAGAATACCAATTAAAAGTTATGATGAGGTAATGAAACTACAATATGTATATAGAGAAAAAAAAAAGAGATATAAGTGAATGATTAGATCCTTAAAGGTCTTTGTTAACAAACTTGATTTTAAATGTGAATTTTTATTTTCAAACTATCGTAAGTTATTGGTATAGATTTACCAACAACTAGAAAGATACATTATTTTTTGATCTAGCGACCATCCTATTTGTAAAAATTATATTATTGAACGTTGAATATATGCTAATGGAGGGTGTCCAGAATCTTTAGGTGAATATATGGTTCTTGTAAAAGAATCACCTTTTGGAAGCATTTGTTCCCTTAGAAGTTTTCGAGATCAGGAACAATTTTGTATATAATCAATCCTCATTAGTAGAATTAAGTAACCATATGATTGGTATTCTCTTTTCCAGTTTATTAACAAATTACTTAGAACAATTATTGTTAAAATATCCAGTCATTCGTACACTTATTAAACTAAGTTGCACACAAATTTTGGATTTACTGGATTTGCAGACCTGAATTTTTTATATTAGATTCTATTTGGTAGATCAAGTCTTGAATTTAGTGCTCTTATTTTGAGGGATCCTGCTGCAAACAAAAAAGCGTTAATGTATACTATTTATAGTAAAATATTTGGTGGGATAATTTTCGTTATGCCAGATATTCCAATCACACCTTTTTTGAAACCATTAATGACTAAGTTCATGCAACTGATAAATTTCACGTGGCCAATCCTATCAGATTTTAACTTCGATGGTTTATGGAAGTTGAGAACCTTTTTTACAGACAAAATTTAGGATCGTTGTAGACTCCATTAGATCATATGGATATAGTAGAAGTACAAGCTCCTAAAAATGGTCAAACACCTATTATTACAGGTCGAACAGGTGCAGGAAAAAGCACAATTTTGTCCAAAATTAAGTAGCAAGTATGATCATTTAGTCCTAAGTATGCCGAGAAGAATGCTTGTTGCCACTCATGCGTCAACTTGGCCAAAAATTTATGCTGGGTGTTCAGAAAATTTTGATTTAGATGGAATAACGTGACTACACATGGGTGGTTAGCTCAAGCATTACCAGAATTTAGATCAAAGAACTTTATTATATGTCTAGATGAGATTCATGAAATGGATGAGGATGCATTGTTTCTGATGGAACATTATCGTGGCCACTCCAATTCCAATAGTAAACTAATAAGTCTTAAAAATCTAGAACATTTCATGAGGTTGTGGAGTTGCCAAACCCAACCAAGTTGCATTTTGAATCAGCGTTTTACCATTATTTACAAGAATACCCTAATCTAAAAACCTAGTAATTCATCCTAGTTTATCAACCTGTATACGTCTACATGATACTTTAGTTAGTTTACTTAATCGAAAATGTCAAGTAATAAGTGGGAGAAATGATGTAATAAAAGAGGATACTGAAATAATATTTGGAACAGGTTTAACATAGATAGTGGTCTAGATATGGGTTATAGGAATGGTATATTTACAATGTGCGCCTCATCTAAAGTCATCGCGATTCAAAGAAGGGAGAGAACTGGTAGAACATGTGATGGCCTTTGTGTGCGTTTAATTAATGAATTTATGGATATACCATTTGATCCAAGTATATCATTCATGTATAATTTCCCAAATCTTTATAAAATTATTCCAGCTCTGAGGCACCCTTAAATAGTAAAGTTCTATCAGTTTATAATAAATTATTAAAGAATCCTGATATGGGGATTTATTTAGAATTATTGTATGCCTCCGGTCAACAAGATGCTGTCCTGCTAACCGATAAATTTTCACTCAGACAATATACAGTATAAACTCTTTACTAATATATTAATTCTACTATTTTTTTTTCATTTACACTAAATCTATTTAACTTTCTAGATATAATTGATTCAGAAGAAAATACAAGTCACTTGGTAAATTTTTTTTTACAAGATGATCCCAATAGGTGTAACCAGTGTTTAAAATCTATAAGTGGAATCTGCGGTGCGCAGACTGAAAAATCATTTCGCAAGCAAAATTTTCTTGGAATCTAAGAATTTTATTGTGTTCTAAATGTCAAGCATCTTTTTTTGAATTTTTATTATGTTTTAAAATTATCAAGCTTTTCCGAATACGTATTGAAACAAAATAGAATCTTAAACACTGGGTGTATTCCACGATTAGGTTTACAACAACCCGGAGTTATATCCAATTACAGAATTAAGAATGTAGCATCTCGATATCACAAAGTGCTAGGTAGCTACTTTTGTATGCTGCCCTCAAATAACTCAAGCAGTTGATCCATAGTTGATATCTGATTATATATTATATAATTATATATACAGTATATATATATATATACAGTATATATATATATATATATATATATATATATATATATATTATATATATATATAGCTATATATATATAGTATATATATAGAAAAAAAGCTTGCTGAGTGAGTATTCAAAAAAAAAACCGGAGGAACTAAGACGTTAACTATGGGCAGTCACGGAAGAATATTAAGCCAAAATTGGAAAACTGTCTAGTCATCATATTACCCCGCAGCAAGAACCCCACAAAAACAAGCGTGTCTCTAGAAATATTTTTCCGTTATCAACCATGGTAGTGATCGACAAATGACAAAAATCAGCATTTCGATTTCGAAAGTTGGGGATTCTTTTATTTGGTTTTAAAATTACGCCCATGGACATCTCCGAATAATAGTACCCTATACAATCTATAGTACGTATCAATGGATTTAGATATATATAATATTAAATAGGCATAGAAATAACACATAGATGCTCATTGTTTGGAAAGTGAATCGATTTAGAATTAGTGCCGCATACTGGGGCTGAGTCGATGGGACCACAGCACAAAATCTTGGTTGACAGTTTAGAGTATAAGTTAGTATTGATCCGCAATTTAGGTGGCGCTTTTAGTGGTTACAGCAAATATCAAATGTATTTATTTTTGTAAAATGGTAATTTTTATAATAATAGTAAAAAAATATTTTTTGATATTTTTTGCTTAATAATAATTTTCTTTTTTTCTATCTTTCAATCTTACCTTTTCAAATTTTACATACCATATTAAAAATTTTCAATTAAAAAATGATTTTAAATTGATAAATACAATATATATATATATATATATGGGCTGCCGTCAATAGAAATAAGGCAAATTGACATCTTAAAAAAAATTAATCCCTTAACTTTCACAGCTCATATCTCGATGAATTTCAAGGCTATCTTAATGTTTTATTATTCAAAGGAAAAAAGCATACGATCTAAGCTTTCTTTCGAATATTAAATTATCAAAATAGCCTCAAATTTTATCGAGAGATGAGCTGTG